AACCCTAAACCCTAAACCCCCATATGCTGCCAAATCTTAGTTTCATTGTCAAAGGGCGTATCTTAGGGCTGGCGGGTCGAGCTTCGTAGGGCCGGGAGCTGAAAGGTTAGACATTTGGGGTTTAGGGTTTAGGGTTTAGGGTTTAGGGTGTCTAGTAGACGTATCAGCGCCTGAATAATTGGAACAAGCGTTTATTAGGGTATGGTGTAGTAGAATATCGACAAGGGGTGAGTTCTGAGTCCAGGTTTTTCCCCTAAAGAAACCCTAAAACCTAAATGGGCTCTAACCCTCAAAACTCCTAAACTCTAGCCCTAAACTGTTCAGGGTTTAGGCTTCAGGCTTGGGGGTTATGGGGGGTCTACATAATTATATACCAAAAACTCTTTTGGGGGCTCCTTATTACAGCTATAGTATAACTAATGAGCCCCAAAGCCCTATTCCAATTAATAAGGCCTCTACATTGGGGTGTAGGGCTCAAGGCCCGGAGCCTGGCTCCAAGGTTCAGGGTTTAGTATGGGGGCCGAAACAATTGTTTTTTGGGGCTTTCCTTGTTGTAAGTGTAGCTTTCAAAGAGCCCAACGCCGAGTTCTAATTATTAAGGCCCCGATATTCGAGCTCGAAAAGTCGGGTGTTGAGCCAAAAGTCACAGGAGGCAGGAGCCCTCTCAGAGCTGTTCCGACCTGCATGCGACATTGCTTGACGACGCGAAAAGTGTTCAGCAGGAGAGCTTGCCATGCTGTGTGTGTTTGTGGCTTGAGCTATCGAGGAAAAGGGCTAAGATAGACTCACAAAGCCCTCAGCCCTCAACCCTACACCCTTGACTCTAGCATGAGTGATAGGGAGGATACCCGGATACCCTCGTGGTTCTAGGCCACGAGTTTTCCACGGCGGAGCACGTGAGTTTAGACACCGGAGGGACTCGGCACGTAAGGCTTGTAGGTTTAGGCTTTAGGGTTTAGCGGGTTTACGGTTTAGGGATCTTAGGGAGTGGAGTTTCTGGGTGTTGTTCAGATCCGATCGTCACTTTTTGTTTTTGTGTTTGGGCCGTTGGCAGTCTTACGTCTTGGCTGTGCATGTGCAGGCTCTCCAGTGCCTATGTTTTTAGGATTTGCATGGCTTCGCAGTTTAAGATACTTGGTTGTGAGACGACCAAGGGCTCAGGATCTAGCACCAGGCTGTCTGGATTAAGAGCATGTCGGTAAGGGCTGTAGGGTTGGTCAATAGCCATACGTGGGTCTCTCCAAAGCCCTAAAACCCAAACCATACATGAACCCTAAACCCTAGACACTACGCCCTACACCCCAAACCTTATGGCCTATAACCTAAACCCTAAACCTTAAAACTTCAGGTCAGTCGAACTCTACGATCCCAGTGCAGTGCCGTTGACGAGATCGTCAACGCTCTGGGAGAGACGTGTGCCTTTCGGCCTGGAGATGCGAAGTTCAGGTAATGTAGGGGCCTTAGTGATTAGAATAGGGAGTTTTGGGGTACATTGTACTAAAAGTCTAAACAAGGACGCCTAAAACAGTATTGGTATATATTTAGGCTTCAGCTGTTTGAGTTTACTTGTGGTTGTTTGCTTTTGTGGGACTTGTTCCGTAAAGGAACCGGTCCGAAACAGAAGTTGTTGGTACCCAGACCTTCGAATATCCCTTGATGACGGAATATAACTGAAGTCTATTGAATCTATTCCGTAGTTAAGGGATATTGGAAGGTTTGGGTAGTGGACCAGGACTGGACTTTGTTACAGAGCTCAGAACAGTTCGTAAACAAACATTCACAGACCGCACCCATGACAGTAATTGTATTGCATTTCGTCCCAAACTCTTTTCCCGATGTCCTGTATCCTACACCCTAAACCTCTAAGCCCTATAAGAGAGGTGTGCTGTTGCGGATTGAGTTTGAGGTCGTTTAGTCGTGGTACGCTCTCCCCGGTTACTCCACAGCAGATTACCAGGTTCGGAGAATCATATATACAGGGTCACCCAGAGGGTCCATAACGGTCCGTATAAACTACAGCTATGGTAGGTTCCCCAACATTATTGGGATGGTCTTGTGGGCCCTACTTCCATAATCGGAGTACATACGGACCCTCTGAGTTTTGTAGGGATGAAGGAACACCAAGCCATTGTATGTGTATCGGTCCCTCGGCTTCTATGTGCACTACGTCTCTACGTAGGGAGTCTTCCCTGAAGCCAATATCTCTTTGGGGGGCACAAACATGCACTAACCCTACTAAATCCTACAGCCATTAAGATTTAGGGTGCGATTTCGGCTTTTGGCTCAGCCTTAAGTTGCATACGCTGAGGTGGGAGTATGGGACGGCATGCCGGCACAGTTCCCAGAATGTGGGCTTTGAGGCTTAGGAGTAGCCGTTGCGACGGGGTGAGAGAGGGATTTTGGGGTTGATGGTTTGAGGGCTTACAATAGAATCTTGAATAGCTGATTCTCAGTATTATATCAAAGCATAATACTCCAAACAATTCCTTTTACTACTTCAAGGCTCCTAGGTGTCTAGGAGGCTGCTGAAGATGAAGCCCCTGAAACACTAAAGCCCCGATCCAAAAACCCTTAAAGGGACGTGTTATGTAGTGGGCTTCCTCTCAAGATGGCATCTCAAAGTATGCTCCTTTTCTAAATTCATAGAGTTCTCCTGTTTCCTATTTCAGGCTGCGCTGAATCCCAGCCCCCCAGCCAGTTTCCTCGAAGTGTTTCGATTCGTTGCGTTCTCATGCACTTTTTGCGGCCTTGCCGCACTGCATGTCGATGGCATTTCCTACATGAATACGAGGATTACTGATTACTGCATCGAGCTGCTCGAGAGGTTTTTCGGCCTGCGGCACAGCACCATGCTTCTAATGCAGTATCGCCACGACGTGGCCGAAGACATTCGGCGCGGCACCGGCCCTGAACCAGACGCGGAGCCTGCACCGCAGAACAGGCACCTACCCATAGGCTCCATGGTAGTTCCTTTTTGTGGTATGCATTTAAGCTCCTATAAGGTGATCCCCAAAAGGAACTACCATGGGGCCTATGGGTAGAGCACTGCTGTCGAAGCTCCGGGCGTGGTACAGCGCAGTGGCGTTTCTTGACTATTTGTCAGCGCGGCGAATTTTCGCACCGCAAGCGCTTTATCGTTTGTTGAGCCCTGATATATCAGTCCTGTACTTGGGTAATTCTCTAAATGAGGGTCCCTTTTTAGGTCCCCAATATAGTACGGCACCCTTATATAAAGGACCCTAAAAGGGACCCTAATTTTGAAAACTACCCAATAAGAGACTTGGGTACGCGCAGTCCTGAGCTTGCAACCCGAAAGCCGCAAACCAGAGACTCCGACCCGCAGCTCTGCACCCCAAACTCTCAATCAACTTCGGTTTAAGGTTTAGGGTTTAGGGTTTAGGGCCCTGCACCCTGAAGAACATACTGTTTTAGAGCTCCCTCCTTTGATCTCCTTTTGCAAGTCCTCAAAAAGGGTAGGTGCTTCAGGGTCCAGGCTGAAGTTAAACTACTCTAACCCCCCAAGCCCTATAAACCCTAAACTCCAAAAAAAGCAAGTTGAAGGTAAAGGGTTTGGGGTTTAGGGTCCAGGGTCTGGTGCCATACCCGAGACCTCCGGTCAGTTAAATAGTAGGCTACTAACCATATAACCCTGCGCTTCCAGGGACCTTATATTATTGGGTCCTTAAGGGGTCCAGGGCCCGAATTATATCCTTGGAGCATAGGGTAATATATAACCCAGTGACCCTAATTATTTAGGGTTTGGGGTTTAGGAGCCCATTCTTAGAATTCTTTAGGAAACTGGAGCCCGCTGGATAGTGTGGAGCAAGTGAGTCCGCGATTCGACAGCATTCTGGACCTCCGGCTCAAGTCCTCATTTACTCTGGATTGTTTTGTTGAGGTTTTAGGGTTCAGGGTTTAGGGCTTAGCGCTTTCGGTTCAGGGTTTAAGGTTTATAGGGTTTAGGGCTTAGGGTTCAGGGTTTAGAGGCCCTTCCGTTCGAAAACTGGTTCTGGGTCGGTCTGTCTCACAGAAGAGTGGTTTATGGTTTAAGCCGTAGAGGTTTAACAGAAGCACCGAAAGCCTCTAGAGCCGCAAAACCCCTAAAACCCTAAGCTCCATGAACAGGGCCTACACCGTCACAAACCCTAAACAGCCCGGGAAGATCTCATCAACACCTTACAGAACCACACAAGACAATGTGCTAAGCACCTTACGGAACCTAACAAAGCCCTTTGTTCACCTAAAACCCTAAAACCCTAAAGCCCATATAGAGCATCTTAAGGGGCCCAACAAAGCCCTTTATGAAACCGTAAGAACCTTATAAAGCCCATACCAAAAGCCGCATTTTCAGGCGCACTCCCCACGCGACGCGGTGCTGGAGGCGGCGGCTGCGGCGAAGAACGCCGGCGCCGACGTCATCGTCACCGTCGGAGGCATCGGTTCAGGGTTTAGGGTTTAGGGTGGGAGCTATAGAAGTAATATAGGGGCCTAAGTAACTACAACACTATTTTGGGGGTTCCTTATTATAAGTATACTGTTATATACCCCCAAACCCTATTCTAATCATGATGTTATAATTTATAATTAAGGCTCCTGCATTAGTATCAGCGTAGGATTGGGCGGCTAAGGCCTCTTGGAGTGTAGAGCGTATAAGGGAAGTGTTTAATGGAAGTAAGGGGCGTTAGAGCGTATAAGGGAAGTGTTTAATGGAAGTAAGGTGCGTTAAGAGCTTGCATTATGGCGCATTGATTGGATAGCTACTATAGGTTACGGCTCAGATCTTTCATAACATTATACAGTAGCAGATGAGCGTACATACCCGAAAAGGAGCTGCACGTATTTTTCGGTTGGGGGTCTCCGGTAGTTTGGGGTTGGCATCCTTTTCTGAAAATCGCTTGCCGAAGACACTCCACCCCGAATAACTTTGAAGTCTCAAAACTCCTAGCGAAACCCCCTTGAAGAAAGTCGTGTCTGTCTGTTTGTGGTACTCGGAGCAACACCTGAGTTTCAATACACATGCGATTCAATCCTCTACAAACTCTAAACCCCTAAACCCCAAACCCTAAACCCTAAACCTCTACAAACCCTAAGCCCCTAAACCCTAAGCTCCCAAACCCAAAGCCCATCGACTCTGAGTCTGCTATGACCCGGTACCACAAGTTCGTCAACTCGAAGCCCATGACCTACATCACTTCCGTCCCCAATCCTTCGATGGAGCCCCAAATCGTCTTAGACTGGAAGGAAATCACCCCGAACAAAACAGCTAGACGGTGCTGATGGTAAACTCTAGACTCTGAGCCTCAAAACCTTCCAGTTATCCCCAAAAAGTTGAAGACCGGATTAAGGACACACAGTGCTAGGATTCCCTATACATTACTCTTAAGGATTGGGGCTATTGGGTTTCCAACTTGTGGGCTTCTACTGTAAGCCGCAAAACCTCGGACACGAAGAGGTGCCGACTGAGTCCTCTGTCCTCTACCGAGGGGTTCCAATGTAGTTCCTTTTTGGGTCTGTTATGGTTTTTGGTGGGAATTATAGTATACTATCCAAAAAAGAACTACATAGGAGCCCTTGGGTAACACTGATAATTGCCCATTTTGTTGGCAGCCTGAGGAGTTCGACCTTGTTTCGGATATCGATCTTTTTGGTTCAACTTTCGGTCTGCATGCTTCGAGACTTTGAAAGGATTCCGGGGAGTCGGGTGGAGAAGGCGAGGGGGGGTGGATGATGACCTGATTCTGCAAAGCAACTTTGCCAGTGAGCGTCTTTGAAGAGCTTTCTGAACTTTAGGGTATCTCTTGATTTCAACTTCAATGCCAGCATTTGCTGGACAGTCAAAAAGCAAGCTCAGGGGACTCAAACTTAGTATTCGCTTCTCCATGATCCAACTTGGCTCGGATTCGTCTAGTTAAATCACAAGGAATCAGCAGCAATGAATTTTGCAAATGCCGAACTCCAACCACCAAATCCCTAAACCCTTGAACCCTAAACCCTAAGCCTCTTGGAGCCGTAAAGCTAAAGGTCCACATCCCCAATCCCGGAACCCTCAGCGCTGAATCCAAGCCTGTCCCGAGAATCAAGCAGTCACCCTGCCAAGTCCATGATGAGCAGACCATATACTATGAACACTACCCATAGGCCCCATAGTAGTTCCTTTTGGGGTTCATAATTTGGCAGCCTATAAGGTAATCCCAAAAGGGAACTACTGTGGGGCCTATGGGTAGTTTTGGGCTTAGGGTTATCAGAAGCACGCCGTATTATGAGCACTAGGTTCGGGGCTTGGGGGGTTTAGGGCTTATCTCTCTGTTGTGATGACTTCAACCGAGTTTCTAACAAAGTCTGTAGAGCTTCCTGCGTGATAGGTGGGAGCCTCACTGATGGGGCCAAGGCATCTGCGGCACATCTTTTTGGCTCTACCTAGGCTCCTGTGGTTGAGGGTGGGCTAACTCAGGGTGTTCGGAGTTCTTCGTGCTTTTCGGTAGATTCCAAAAGCCAAAGAGCGTAGAACGAGGTACCTTCTGTGTATCCCCAAGCCGCAGCCAGCACCCTGAGCCAAAACATTTACGCTGCATCGGCTTACCAATTGGTAGCCATGTCACAGCCGTATGGCAACAGCCTCTTACGGCTTAGGTTCAACGACTTAGGGTTCTAGCTCAGACAGGCGATGTGAGGAAGCGGTGTGGAATCTATCTCTCTCTCTCTCTCTATGCATATGTTTTTTTTATGCATATGCGCACCAATGACCCCAAGCCCTCAACTCCAATCCCCAAATCCTGGTAGAGATTGTCTCAGCTAAGACCCTTTCGTACCAACCCAGTTTTTGGTCCCCTAAACCCTAAACGGTAACCCTAAACCCGAAACCCTAAACCTTATAAGCCCTAAACCCTAAATCGTACCAACCCAGTTTCGGTCGAGGTCGTGCGGATAGCTCTTCAGGCGGAAGCCACCACCTTAGAGGCCCTCGCAGCGAGGGATTTCCTGCTCAAGGTTGACAAGGGATTGATACTGTAGGGGCCTAAATACTTACCTATACTATTTGTGGGGGTTCCTTACTCTAATGATTAAGGTACAATATAATTACCCCCACACCCTATTCTAATTATTCAGGCCCCTATATTGAATCCTTTTTCGGGCAGTGGAAGCTTCAGATGTTGCAGGGCGACCCTCTGCCGGCTTGGACTCTTCGCGCTTCTGACTTATCTCTTCTTTGCATTCGCTTAAGGAAGCATAAATCCTAGCACCTAGTGCCCTGAAGCCCTTTCCCTACTGTCACAGACCCTAAACCCCTAAGCCCCAAACCCCTAAGCCCCAAACCCTAAACAAATGCCAAGGCCAGAAGGCCCCAAGGACATGCTGCTCCCGCAACCCCAACATCGCAGCACCCGAGCTTCTCCTGGCTTTCTCCTGCAGCCGTTCTCCAGAACCTGTATGAGGGGTCCTGTACTCACCTTGAAGCAGCCGTGCTGTCCGTTCCTGCCCTTTTGCTTACCTTGAATAGATCGACCGTTAAAAAAGATGTTATCTACATGTATGCTGCACATGCATAAATACGTACATACGTACGTGCGCACATGTGCACAAGTCTTACCAAAATTGCACTTACACCGCCTTTGATCTTGGCACACCAGAGAATGAGCTCGGCAAGCCATCATAATATCCTATAAAGCCGCAAACCGTAAGCCCTAAGCCCTGAAAAACCGGCACAGCCGCCAACAGCTTCCAGGAGCTGGGCAAATACTGCTTCAAGGGTGCTTGGCTTGCACTTCAAAGGCCTACTCCAGGGGTTTGAATCCTAACGAACACTATTCCTCATTTTTACTACGACTCTTCAGAGGTCCTTAGAGAAAATGGCACAGCATAGTATGCACCACCCTATTCCGACTCTCGTGGGCCCTACTCCCACGGTCCGTCTATGCTGCCGTTGCGGAATGAGCTTGAAACTAGCCACTGTAAGGATGGTCCATTGAAGTGCGTATTGGGACTCTGATGGTATACAAATGAATTGGGTAGCCAACAGTGGGTTTAGCAAACGAGTTTTTCGGGGGACTAAGGTTAAACGGTCTTAAACGCCCCTTGGCCTCCAGTCAGTCAGCGGCTCGTAGGAAGTTCCCGGGATGATTTTCGGGCACCTAAGCAAAACCCCAATGCGAAACTCTCTCATCCCTAAACCCTAAACCCTAAACCCTACACCCTAGCAGCCTACGGCCCCGAAGCCACAAGCCCAACTCAGTGTCAACCCTTAAGTCATGAAACCCGCAGCCGTACACCAAAGCCTATAGGCTTGTATAAACCCCCAGCTCAAAACCCTGTAGGTCCTAGTTAAAAGCCGTGAGCCTGAAACCTACCTACAGTCTCCATTGTAGTCCCCTTTTTTAGGGTTATAGCTTATAGGATCCCAAAGATAGAACTGGTTACAGAAAAACAACTAGAATGGTAAACCCTAAACCCTAAGCCTCTAAACCCTAAACCCTAGACCCGCTAAACCCTAAACCCGCTAAACCCTGAGCCTGAAGTCTCGACCCTCAGCCCGGAGCACCGCAGAGAACAGTGGCGTTTCCAACGCGTTTTGCGCCCTGACTTCGCGTGCGAAGTTGCAATGCGCAAGAGCCCAAAACTGGAGTTTCCTAAGCCCTAAAAACCGAAACGGAACCCGACACCCTACCCTGGGGCTCCAATGTAGTTCCTTTTTGGGTCTGTTATGGTTTTCTGGCAAGGTGTTATAGCATACTATCCAAAAAGGAACTACATAGGAGCCCTAGGGTAAGCCCCAAAAAACCTTACAAGCCCTAAACGAGTTTTGGACGAGTTTGGGCTTGGAGCTTAGGGGTTTCAATGAGTGCCTCCAAAAACTCAAAGCCCTAGGCCTTGGCTTTAGGACCCAATGACCAGTGAACACCATGGGGCCCCAGTCCTCTGTACTGTTATTTGTTTTGGGTTTAGGGTTTAGGGTTTAGGGTTTAGGGTTTAGGGGGATACTTCCCGATACTTCATAATCGTATTTTGTAACTTAGAAACCCAACATTTTGCGACATAGGTACATAGGACCCCGTGGGCTACTTCTTGTTAAGGAGTTTGAGTAGTTTAAGGGTTGGAGGTTCAGGGTTCTAGGAAGGAGCTAAATTGCTCAAAGCTACCATAGTTTGGGTGTTCGTTAAGGCTTCCAAAAGGGTTCCGCAAGGGATAACACAGGGCTCTAAGGCTATCGTATTCCATATTAAGGGATATGATCAATAGACTCTGGAATGGCTCCTGCGGGTCTTACCGGTGCAGGACCTAGACTTTTTCTCCCAAGACAAGAAGCTAAGGAGACGTGTCTGCAGTGAAGGACACCAAGCTGATTCCGCAGGTGTCGATCCCGACAACGCTCAGCGCAGGTGCGCAGCAGATGTGTAGCTTCAAACCCTAAACCCTAAACCCCAGACCATCATCCGCCCCAAACTCTCCCCAAACTTCAGGATTTAAGGGTTTAGGGCTTAGGGTTTAAGGATCTAGGGTTTAGGGTAAACACACCTTAAAGTACAACGAAGCAAAGCCCCAAAACCGTGGTGCCGTTTTGCGAAGCCTGGCGAGCTCAAAGTCCCACTGATATGTTCCGGCTCTGGTTCGCTTTTGGAATTTCGCAGCATGACTATGAGCATTTTTGCTATGATCAGGGTTGTTATGATGATGATTACTATTGCTATTGCTGGCTTTATTGGTTTTATTGCTATACTGATACTCTTATAGAATTGAGGGTCCTCTCCAGAGGAGTCCTTCGGAATGAGGATCTCATCGCTCTGGGTCTCGGAGGCGTCCCTTGCTTTCTGAGATTCCCATTGTTTGGGTCCTTAGTGGAACTGCGAGGGCACTTAGGACTGCCCAAGTGCCTAGGCTAGTATGCCTTGTTACGATGTTGGATCTGTCTGTGTTAGAATTGTAAGTTTTAGGTGTCTGGGTTTTGGGTCAAGTGGCTGTAAAACTTTAGGTTTGGGCTGAGGGTGGTGTGGTTCAGGACTTTGGGTCTAGATTCAGACAAGTCGCACAGAGTAGTCCATTCCCGAAGCAATCGGGTGTAAGAGCCGGAGCCTGCAAATACATCTCAAGAACTCAGAAATATCCTCAAACCCTAATTCCCCGAAGCCCTCAATCCTAACGGGTAAAGCTGTGGATCCTTGACCTCTCAACTCTGGTTGTAGCTGCAGGCGAGTTCGCACCATATGCTGGCTGCACAGATCCAGCCACCAAGGTCAAGGAGACGTGCCCAAGCTCTGGTTTGGCTTAGGGTGATGCGTGGACGCATGGTCAACGGCGTGCTTGAGCTGAGCTAACTGTGCAGCAACATACTGAAGCCACAATCACTCAGCACACGTGGTTACAGGGGTGTGTTAAGAACATGTGCAGCTGATCATGTTAGCTGTTAGCACACGAGCGTTGCATATGCCACATACATACATACATACATACATACATACATACATACATACATACATACATACATATGTATATATATATATGTATATATATATATATATTATAGGATAGCTCTATAATACAGACACTCGGCTTTAAAGGCATGTGTATATGCATGAATGCATAGAGAATTCATTCATGTATCGATGCATGGATGGATAGATGGACATACGCATGAATGTGCATGCATTTGTATATATATATATATGTACACACATGCACATGTGTTTGTGTGCGTGTGCCTGGGTAGGTATGCACGAGTGTATGCATGCGCGGAAGTATGTGTGTACGCATGCATGGATGTATGTATGTGATGGTTCAGGCATCTGTGCATGTATATCTGTAAGTCTGCATGCATGCATGTTTGCATAGTTGCATGCATTCCTGCATGGATGTCTTCATATTTTCATGTGAGCATACATGCATGTATGCATGCATGTATGTATGTGCGTGCTGACACGGAGACATACCGACATGCACACACACAGACACACACTCTTTGTGTCTCTTTCCCTCACTCTCAAGCTCTCTCTCTCTCTCTCTCTGTCTCTGTGTCTCTTCTACGGTTGATATCCATGCATGTGCAGATGTGTGTATGTGTGTCACACGTACTTATGAGTCCGCAGTCATGCAAGGGTACACAGTACACATGTAAAATGCAGAAACAGGCTAAAGGACTGGGGCAGAGCTAACGATGCTCTTCACGCGGCTGCTTCTACCCCCCACTCTGGACCCTGAGCAGCGACCTCGCACATAAATGAGGCTGCAACTGCACCTTGAGTTTCGAAATCCGTCAGAGCCGAGAAAGGAACCGGACACCCCAGGGCCCCAGGCTGCAGGCCTTACAAGCCTTGTGTCTGAGAATGCAGAGCCTCACTGCCGCCTATCCCGCTTGTGAATCGTTCCTTGATGGGCAAAATTTACGAAGCAGGTAGGCTAACAACAGCACCACAACAACAACAGAAACGGCACAGTGGTTGTTCATAATAGTTCCCACTTCTAGTGCTTGCTGTCATTTGTTGTCTTCGTTGTCGTCCTTCTCGGCGAAACCACACGAAATTTACCGAAACCCACTGCTAAAGCTGGAGGTACGTGTGGCTGGACGCCCTTCCGAAAGCCGTTGTTCTCGACCCGTGGCTAGCGCTCCTCGGGCTCTTTTGGGGTTTAGGGTTTTGGGTTTAGGGTTTTGGGGATCATGGTGTGTAATGTAGGGGCCTCAAGAATTACCAATACTATTTTAGGGGTTCCTTAATATAATCATTATAGCCTAGTGGGCCCCAAAACCCTATTCTAATTATTAAGGCCCCTAGATGAGTGCGGGATCAGTAAGGTTTTGTTTGTTTCAGCGTTTTAGGGTCTGTTATGCTTGATTGTGATTCCGGGTTTAGGGGGTATCATAGTTACAAGGTACAAGGCTTCCGTGCCGTGTGGATGCTGCCTGCGGAGGTCCACGAGGATGTCGCAGGGAGTTACCCATAGCAGTTCCTTGTTGGGACTACTTTATAGGATTCTAAATATGAACCCCAAAAAGGAGCTACGATGGGTCCTATGGGTATTGCGGCAGCTGCATGAACGGAATAGATCACGCACTGAAGCCCTGAGTCCCAAGTGAAATCCGCAACTACCGGAACCCTAACTGTCTGATGCTTAGTAGAGAATGGGGGAATGGGTTATAGGGTTTAGGGTTTAGGGGTTTAGGGTTTAGGGTTTAGGGTTACGGTTATAGGGACTACTCTAAGGGACCTGAAGGGACTAATCTAGACCGTGCACCGCTGACACCTTCGAACCCTCGTCCCCTGAACTCTGACAGGTTGAGAAGCCTAGACTCTGACACCAGATACGAGGTGCCCTGAGATCTTAACCGGATCATGAGCCAAACTAAACCCTAAACCCTATAAACCCCATACTATAAGCCCTATAAACCCTATAAGCTTTGTAAGCCCTTTAGAACCTATAAACCCTATAAACCCTTTAAACCCTCAAAACCCTATAAACCCTATAAACCCTATAAGCCCTATAAGCCCTATAAACCCTAGACCCTAAACCCTGAATCCTAAGCTTGAAGCCCTAATCCTGAAACTCTGAAGCGATAAAGGAAAGCCGGCTCTTAGCCTTGAGAAATGCATTGAAACTCTTTCGAAGACTAAACCTCCGAAACGAACGGTTTAGGGTTAGGGTTTAGGGTTTAAACAGGGGCTCCTCGTTATAAGTACAGGGTTTGGGGTTCAGGGTTTAACATAGGGGCCCTAAATAATTAACAATACCATATTGGGGACTCCTTATATCTTATGTATGAATATAGTATACGGGGCACCCAAACCCCCATTCTAATTATTCAGGCCCCTACATGAAACCTCTACACCCAAAAACTCCCAAGCCCTCAACCTCAGAACTAAAACCTTGTTGAAACCCTATGTCCTTCAAGGACGCCCTTTAAGATTCCTTTAAAGGCAGCAGACGCCGGAGTGGCTTTTCCTCTCCACGGGTCTGCGTGCAGTGGACCACTGCGTGGAGTGTTTGCCCGCTGGCCGGGAATTGTTATTCCCTAAACCCTAAACCCCTAAACCCTAAAGCACTAAAGCCTTAAACCCGGGAATTGTTATTCCCTAAACCCTAAAGCCCTAAACCCTAGAGCCCTAAAGCCTTAAACCCTAAAACCCTAAACCCTAAAGCCCTAAACTCTTAAACCCTAAAACCCTAAACCCTAAATGCCTAAATGCCCTAAACCCTAAAAGCCATCAACCCTAAAACCCTAAACCCTAGAGCCATAAGCCCCAAATGGTTTCGGCGCGAAGGAGGTCTTTCAAGGGCTCCAAGGATTTCCTCTAAGGGCTTTCTTCAAGGGTTCTATAAGGATTCCTTTATGGGGTTTAGGGTTTAGGGTGCCGGGGTTTAGGCTTGAGGCCGTTTTTCTGGGATTTAGGGGCTGCCATTGTTGGTGTAGGGGTTTCGTGGTTTAGGAGTTGAGGAGCCTTGGGGTGCAAGTGTTTGGTGATTGGAGGTCTTGGCTGTTAGGCTTTTCAGGCCTAAAGTTGGTTGGGTTTGGGCCTTAGGGTGGTTTAGGGTTGTAGGATTTGGGGTTTAGGGCGGTTCAGGGTTCAGGGTTGTAGGGTTTGGGGTTCAGGATGGTTTAGGGTTGGTGCTCGAGGGTGTCAGGGTGTGTTTTTGGAAGGGTGCATCTTCTAAGGCTTCAGAAAGTCAGCTGCTGTCTGTGTCTCCTTCCTGGAGGCAATGCTTTTGCGCTCACAGGTCTTTGGCTGTCACAGCGAGTATGATTGTACCTTGCTACCCAGGGCTCCCGCATTGCGGTCAACTGACATACTTCAGACTGGGTACAAAGATAGGACCGATGGAGCCATGACTGTCTCGGCTAGATTCACTATATGTCTGGCTGAAAGATGTTGAAAGGGGAGGATGGACGTAGTAATTGCAGGATAGCCCATTTGAGGTACTGTTCAATCCGTATATATACACATAGTTATATATCGCCTGTTTACCTCATAGATGGCGAGGTGTTATGACGATTTTATGTGGAGTTTCCACTAGAGTCTTACAAGTTGCGTTGGCTATCAGGAACGCCCAAAACCCAAACCAAGGACCGTGCAGAATGAATCTTTATAAAGGCGATGCAGCGAGTGTGTCAAATATAGCGTGTCCGAACTTTTATCTTTTGCAAGTGTAAAGACACTGCAAGTAACGCATACTCGATAAAAGAGCGTTGTCAAACATAGCCTTTCCATGTACATCCAGACAACTCCCGCTTCACCGCTTCTCCTGCTTGTTTCGATACCTGACGAGACTCTCTGGAAGGCGGGAAGACCTTGGTGACTAACCCGAAGGCTCTAAGGAGTCATGTATTCAGGCTTTCTGGGCCTAAAGACCCTACTATAGAAGACTTCTGCTACTGTGAGCCCTAGGGTAAGCTATGACTGAAACTTCAAGAGTCTGCAAACAAGGTACTGTACTGCTACAGCATGGAAGCTTCAAGCAGAAATTGAAATCCCACATATGCTAGACGACCCTCCGTCTAGCCTCCATTACTCCACAGTCTTGACTATGCCGGGTGCAAAAATAATCAACCCAAAAACCAGACTAAAACCGTAAATCTTCAAACATCAAGATCCTTGGACCCTTAGCCCCGGGCCTCAACAATCCAGGTACCGTATGATATCCCCCTACCTTACAGTCAGGTGCTCCCCCCTTTTACACTTGAAACATAACAGCACTGGGCTCTAAACAGAAACCCCACTGGAGACCTAGGTGCTCCCTCTCTGGGAAGCCTTTGCTAGTACTATATATACTACCTGTAAGGTTGTACCCTCAACCCGAAACCATAAAACCCGAAATCCGAAGCCGTAAATACTGCACTACTTTTAAGGTTAGCCCTAAACCCCAAACCCCAAACCCTATAAGCCCTAAGCCCTAAACCCCAGACCCCAAACCCCAAACCGTATAAGCCCTGAGCCTATAAACCCCAAACCCTAAACCCTATAAGCCCTATAAGCCCTAAACCCTAAACCCTAGACCCCAAACCCTAGACCCTATAAACCCTATAAGCCCTAAGCCCTAAACCCTAGACCCCAAACCCTAAACCCTATAAGCCCTAAGCCCTAAGCCCTGGACCCCTAAACCCTAGACCCTAAACCCTAAAGCCCAAACCCCAAACCCTAAACCCTATAAGCCCTATAAGCCCTAAACCCAAAAAGCCCTAAGCCCTAAACCCTAAACCCCAAACCCTAGACCCCAAACCCCAAACCCTATAAACCCTATAAGCCCTAAACCTCTAGACCCCAAACCCTAAACCCTCAGGTGCTCCCTAAACCCTCAGGTGCTCCCTCTCTGGGAACCCGTACTCCGACGGCCTCGCAGCTGCTGCCCTGGCGCTGCTGGTGCGGGGTCTCCGCAAGGCGAAGGTACCCAGAAGGGGGCGGATTCGGGGGTTTAGGGTTTAGGGTTTCGTTGATTTAGGCTCTGGGCCTCCGTTGCAGGATTTAGGGGTTCGGGGCTGAGGGTTGCGTTTAAGGATTTCTTTTCAGGGTTCCCTTTTCGATGCCCTGAATCTACATAACGGGATTTCTGAAGCTTCTGTAGGGGATTTAGGGCCATGCGCCTTAAGGACTTCTTTTTAAAGGGTTCCTTTTGAGGCTGGATTTAGGGGCTTCTGAGACTTCGATGAGGGATGTAGGCTCCAGGGTAGCGGTAGTGGGTGGGGGCACTAATTCCGAGACTTGAAGGCTACGGGTTTAGGCTTGACCTCAACTTAGTTTAGGGCGTTTAAGCCCCAAACCCTAAACCCTAAACCCCCAATGTAGGAGACCTTAAGTAGAATAGCGTTCGGGCTTGGTTTCGAGGGAGGGCCCTCTGCGTCCTGCTACCAATGCTCTGCTGACGCGGGGCACTTTTCGAAAATTTGGGCACGTCCCCGCTAGGACTGGCCCGGAGGCCCCTAGGTCCCTGGAATCTGCTTGCTTGGGGGGCCCGGGACCCTCCTGGGAGGGCCCATTTTGGGTGCTGGAAACACCCCAAACGCCCGCAGAGGGATTTGGCCGTTGGGTTTAGGGTGTTCCCATCAAGGGGAGAATCAAGGATTCTAGTGGATTATAGGCCCAGCTGAGGCTGGCCGGCGGCGAGGCGGACCCCTTGACAGCCCAGACAGGGCTGTATTCGACCACTCTCCATAGGCTCCACCCATTGTTTGGCCCAG